GAAGCAAAAGGGATGTGGAAGATTCGTGTGTCAGGTGTTAGGACACGGCAGTGTCGGATTGCCTGTTGCTTCAGACACTGCTGGTTTCCAGTCAGAGTTGTTAGAGCAAGTAACATCCACCACGGCAGGGCAGGTCTACACCAAATGGAACAACTGCGGGAAATCTCGTACGAAAGGCCAAAAGAAGCATGCTAAAGAGACACGTCTTAGAGTGGCGGGATACCTCTCTCTAAATGTCATTAGAATATTTCCTAAGCAACATCAACAGGTTCTTCCTATTCTCTGCCATTTCTTACCTCCAGGAGAGATGTAGAAGCAGTTGAGTTGAGCTTCATGCACCAAAGTGCCCTTAAACTTCACTTCTGTTTCGGCCGACAGGTGACTGGCAAGTGGCTGGTAGGCAGGGGTAGTGGGCTGGACAAAGGCTCGAAGCATTGCCAGTTCCAAATGGGTACCGATGACTATGTTGATTTTTAAAAATGAATATCCTGTTTCGGAGCTTTCCTCCTTATACTTTTTCTTAAAGCCCAGAAGCCACTCCTGCAGTTAGCATCTCAGTGCAACCAAAGTTCACACCGCCGGGTCAAGCTGCTGCAAATGTAGGTTAGAGTCATGGGTTTCTAAAAAGGACACCTTTTCCTTGGTTCCTTTCAAACTGGTCTTTTTCCTGGCTCCCCTGCTGTGCTCATCGCCTGTGTAGGTGCAGGCCTCTCACCCAGTGGCTGTTACAGGAAAACTGGGATTGAAATGTGACGTTAATGGTTTCTGTCAGCCTGTCAGCTCGTCACCTCCCTAAGGCATGCCGGTCTCTGGTTTTCGTACATCACCACGAGCTGCTTTGATAGACCCTCTTGTGTTTGGAAGGGTGAGAGGTTTGGCCGGGAGGGGGTGGGGAGACCTTGGGCCAAAGAGGCAGAAAACTTCATTTGGAATGTGCACTCTGCTGTCCCTCGCTGCCCTGTTTCCCAGTGGAATGCAACTCAAGTGGCAAAACTATTTTGGGGGAGAGAAAAATTAGGGCCAGGCCCACATTTTATCTCAGTGCCACCTCTCAGGATCCAGGGCTGTTGGGAAATCTGTTTGTTTCCTCTTTTTAATTGAGTGTTTTCTTTCTTGGCTATTTAAATGTGAAGATCAACGGAAATAGTCACAGAGGCGCACGGAGGCGGCGTAGTGGCTCCGCACTGGACTGTCGTCCGCACGGTCCGTCGCTGGGAACTACTAGCCACGCTGTAGGAGAAAGACGGGCTTTCTACTCCCATAAAGAGTGACGGCCTCCGAAAACCACAGGGGCGGTTCTGCTCTGTCTGTCCTGTGGGGTCGCCATGAGCCGGCATCCACTTGATGGCAGGGCTTAACCGCTTGGCTGCTAACCCCAAAGATGGAGAGCTGGGACCTCCCAGCCTCTCCTCCGCAGGAGAAAGACGGTGGGTGCAATGTCTTCCGTAAAGACTTGCGGCCCTGGGAACCCTTGGAGTACAGAATCTGACTTGAGGGACATGGGTTTGCTGACGGGATGGAAGCAGCTGTGTCAGGATGCTCTGTCTCATTTGCATCTTGAAGTCGTGTTGCTGTAGAGGTGAACACACCTGTCCTAAGGACTGCTCCACCATGTCTTTCATAGTCAGTACAGACCCAATCTGAGGCATCTCCTTCATTCTGCTCTGACATTTGAAAGATGTTTCTGTAGCATTTCCCTTCCTAAATCTGCATTTCAGTGCCTCGTGGTTATGACAATGTCAAACTGTTTTGCTATTTGTATCAACAGATTCCTTGGCATCCTCCCCTTAGCCAACCTGGTTCCTTATGCCGGATGCCACAAATGTGTGATACCACAAACGCTGCACCCAAAATATTTCTATTAATACATTCTACTGATGAGACACAAACGGCTGGCTTTTCCTCTGCCTTTGTGTTCTTGGGTCTTGGATTTCTTACTTTATGCCAGATTTCCCTTCCCTGCCCCCACCCTACTCCATTCAGACTCCAGTGAGAGAAGAACTTTACTGTCGCCAGAAAATAGGCAGCGAGGCTCCTAGTTCTGCCTTCAGAGTAAAGCCAGCAAAACACACGAATGTACTCTGATTTCAGTCAGTGGTTGGATGCCAGTCAGTGAATCAGTTCACTTTCACTTTTAAGAATGTGAGACCAGGTATCAGGCCTCATCAGAACAAAAAATCTTACCATAGCGAATGAGGGGGCCAGTGCGGAGTGGAAACCCAAAGCCCATTTGCAGGCCACTGGAGATCCCCTTGCAGAGGGGTCTCGGGGAGGAGACGAGCCAGACAGGGTGCAATGTAGCATCGATGAAAAATACAACTTTCCTCCAGTTCCTAAATGCTTCCTTCTTCCCACCCCCCTCCCCACTATCATGATCCGAATTCTACCTTGCAAGTCTGGCTAGACCAGAGGATGTACACTGGTACAGGTAGGAACTGGAAACACAGGGAATCCAGGGCGGATGATCCCTTCAGGACCAATGGTGTGAGTGGCGATACTGGGAGGGTAGAGGGAAGAGTGGGTTGGAAAGAGGGAACCGATTACAAGGAACTATATGTGACCTCCCTAGGGGACAGACAACCAAAAAGTGGGTGAAGGGAGACGTCGGACAGGGCAAGATATGACAAAATAATAATTTATAAATTATCAAGGGCTCATGAGGGAGGGGGGAGGGAGGAGGGAGGGGAGAAAATGAGGACCTGATGCAGAGGGCATAAGTGGAGAGCAAATGTTTTGAGAATGATGAGGGCAATGAATGTACAAATGTGCTTTACACAATTGATGTATGTATGGATTGTGATAAGAGTCGTATGAGCCACTAATACAACGATTAAAAAAAATGTTCACAACCAAAAAAAAGAATGTGAGAACCGGCACATCAGGGTGCAGAAATCAGAGTAGGGAATTCATCTTGATGGACATGAGACAACCTTGAATATAAAGTTTGGAGATGCACATTTAATGATCTTGTTTGATGTCAAGGCTCTCACAACATTCCACTTTAGAACTCAGATGTTCTTTTTCCCAAATGATTATTACATTAGGGAGAAAGAGGTCTGGTTATTTCTGTCTAAGAGGATAAAATTCTACTAAAGAACTGGGGTGGGGGCGGGGGTGTATGGAATTCACTTTTTGTGAATCCCTTCTCAAATAGGTAAAGGAGCCCTGGTGTCACTGTGGGCTAAGCCTTGGGCCGCCAACCACAAAGTCGGCAGTTCAAACTCACCAGTAGCTCCAAGGAAGCAAGCTGAGGCTGTCCATCCCTGTGAAGATTGACATTCTCAGAAACCCTAGGGAGCAATGTTCACTCTATCCTGTACACAGAGGGAGCCCTGGTGACATAGTGGTTACACTTCAGGCCACCATCCACAAGGTCAACAGTTCCAAACCATCAGTCCCTCCTCGGGAGCAAAATGAGGCTTTCTACTCCCGTAAAGAGTTACCGTTTTGGAAACCCACAGAGGCAGCTCTACTCTGTCCTATAGGGTCGCAATAAGCCGGCATCGACTCAATGGCTGTGAGACTGGTTGGGTTTGGGTTTAAAATAGAACTAGGAAAACATTTCTTTCACATTTTGATGTCTGAATCATTACTACCAAGAGGCAGAAATCCCACACCTAGCCATTGGTCAGGCAAGCGGGAAAGAGAGGCTGTGGTTAAAATATTATGGCCAAATGGCATTCATGTAAGTAACGGTTTTGAAAGTTTAAAAATTTGAAGTCTTACCCTGTAAAAGGGTTTTTACCTTTCCATTTTCACTGGCTTCTCATAACATTGCCATTGTTTTCAATGAAGGCTTTAAAATGTATATGTGCTTAATGAATTCTGTATACGATTAATACCACCAGGTCCTCCACTAGATGTACGTAAATGTATTTTGCAATTGTTTCCACTTTCGCTATGAAAATGTTGTAGATGGGCACCTAATAAAGGATGTATTTATTTCTTATGATTCATTATTAAATGAATGAATAGCAGCTATATCATACCACATTTTTCATTACAAAATGATTAAATCACAGTCATATCTAATCCTTCACCAGCTATACAGTTCCTGACATGTTGAAGTCAGAGATTTATTATTAAATTTATTTTTTGCCAGCACCCTATTCTAACTTACAGCTGACAAAATCAATTTCCAGTTAACATACTCCTGGGGTGGGGGAGCGGTTTCTAAGCATAATTTGTGCATCAGGCTCCTGAATATTTATGAGTAAAGATAAGATGTGCTTATTAAATCTGTGAGTAGAGTACAGAAATGCTACTTTAAAGCCAGGAAGCTCAGACATTCTGATATCATCTTCTGTTTGTATTCATTCACTTATGAAGCATTTGCCAAATTCCTATTGTGCTCAGGTGCTCAATTTTAGAGGAAATCACACTTTATTGGATGTGAGGAGTCCTGTTGTTCAGTGGTTAAGCACTCTGCTGCAAAGTGAAAGGTGGGCAGTTCGAACCTACCACTCGCTTCCCAGGAGAATCAATGTGGCAGGCTTTGTCCATAATGATGTATAGCTTTGGAAGCCATTTGGGGCAACTCCACTCCATCCTACAGGGTAGCTGGGGGTCAGGACCTGCTTGCTAGCAGTGTGGTCTTCCATCTCAGTGTGTGAACTCGTGTGAAACCACTACATATTTCTTGGTGGGCAGAAACTATGCAGCTTTACCTCCAGTGAGAGTTTTCGTGTATCTACTGAGGGCTCTGTTCCCTGTAGAGTAGAGGCTGTTTGTTTCCACTTTTGCGTTCTGAGGGGGCTCAGACTTTGTTTGATGTGTTCTTTTTGCAGTGTCGATTTATGGGATTTGGTTTTATGATAAAGAAGAATGCCAAAGAATTGCAGAGCTTATGAAAAAGTAAGGGCTGAATGCTGATATTTTTCAGAACCCAGTGGTGCTTTTGTTTGTATGTATGTTTAAATGTATGTAATGACCCTATAATATTCATAGAAGATCTCTCTTACCAAAATCCTCTTCACAGTGGTCCAGAAAGTATTTAATATTATGTAATAAATGAAAAACAGACATAAGAAAGGACTTGCTACTGCTCCTTAGGTAAGGTTTATCATCTAGAATTACTTGTTTTTTGCGTCAGTCTGGAATATATGTCATGTGAGTTCTGCCAAATGGCAGTTTTCCTTACTATTTTTCCACATTTATAATTAGCCTTTTTTTTTTCCTTTTTTGATTTTGAAAATAAGTTATCCATTAACAGGGAAAGCCATTGGGAGGTTTGATACGCTGTTGAATGGCCAAAAAAAAAGATGCTCTGATCTGTAAGCCCCCATCTCCTTCTCAGTAAAAAGTTACCTAGCAAGAGACCCTTCAGAACCTTTCTAAAGGGCTGCTGTGGTCTCGCATCTTTTCCTCTGGGCTGCCCTGTGTGCCTCCGCTGGAACCCTGGCGGCTCAAAGCCAAGGCTTGAAACTCACCAGCACCTCCTCTGGAGACAAAGTGAGGCTGTCTCTTCCCCTAAAGATACACAGTCTTGAATAGTCCAAGGAGCAGTTCTTTGTCCTATAGAGTTGCTGTGAGTCGGACTAAATTCAAGTGGTTTGGTTTGACATGCTTATTATTCAAATGGCATATCCAAATTCACGGATATGCATACCTGTGTTAGTAGAAGTTCTCAGCTTTCTCAAACACTCTGTGTACACTTTATTTTTAATGTCTTTGGAAATTTCTGAGTTGATATTAATTTAGTGACCAGTGGAAAGTCTCTCTCTCTCTCTCTCATTACTAATCTCTCTTGCTTTTAATGTCATGATGATGAACTGTCGCCTTCTGCATTGTGGGAAACTTACATTTCTATCCTTACTTTCCCACTCTTTGCTTCCTGGTTCCTCTGGAAGTGGGACCCAGCCTGCCAGTCCCTCTGTGATTGGTTGACTCTCTGATCAGTTCTTGAGCCCCTAGAGCTGCTCCTGGTAGCCAGCCATTTCTCTGCTTTTAATGGGGCTCGGTAAGGAAGAGCCCCGGAATCAGGTAAGTTTCCTGCATGGGCTGAAGCGCAGCCACTGACTGGTGGCCTCACCGGAGCATGGAACTGCTGTGGTAGCCTGTGGTGACAAACACCTCCAGCCGCAATAAACAAAAACAACTTCCAATTTTAGTCCTGAGCCAATGAAATGACTCAAAAGTGACCCCAAGGCAGTGAAAAATGGGGGCCCCCTTTTAAAATATATAAGTAAATAAGCATTGATTCCTGGAAGTCAAGCTGTGATAGCTAATTGTAGGTAACTGACTCAAGCTGCAGCTGGTGATTAAGTGTGTTCAAACTGGTATTTACCACCAGCACCACTAGCTCCTAGAACATTCATGTTACTGTACACTGTGCAACGGGTCACAATAGCAGGGTTACAGAGACATCGAAGAACAGCCTGTAGCTCAGCCAAGAGGCCATGTTAAGATTGTCAGCATTCTGCGGGAATTACTTAACAGCTGGGGCAGGAAATTGATTGCTCACCAGCAGTAAGCAGCTGATGTTTGTGGATTTAGACCCCCTTCCCCGTTAAGATATCTCAGTAAATTCTCAGATTTTATTTTTACCCACAAACTTCCTGGCAAAAATAAAAGAATTTCAGTGGAAAACCCAACCTCATCACGGGGAAAAGTTTTTTTCTCAGCATCGCCATGTGACCTTCCATCTGCATTGTCTTCAGGGCACCAAAAACAGGGCTTTGACCTGGTTCGTTCCGCTTCGGCCCCTTGCTTTGGATTTGTAGTTCCACCTCAAATGTACTAAATCAAAATCCACAAGGCCGCCCGAGGATCTTGTTCCACATAGATTCTGATGAGTCTACCTGAGATCCAGCACACTCACCGCCCTGCAGTCAGAGCCGACTCATCGTAGCTCCACAGCATTGTGTGTACAACTGTTCTCGGGGATTTCTGAGAATAGACCACCTCATCTTTCTCGCCCATATCTTGAGGTGGAAAGGAAAAATCTCAGCAATTTGAAGAATGGACCAATTTGAAGGTCTGGCTACAGCTAGCCAGCTTCACTGTTGCTGTGCAAAGGCAGCTGTAGCTCATAAGCGAACGAACGTGGCTGGGCACCAGTCGAACCTTATTGATAGTGGGTGCGATTAGTCTGCAGAGCACAGTGCCGGCTCCTACTCTAGACTCACACAGGTCATCAGTTTACACACGTTCCACATCTCACTTTTCCTCTTTCAGTTCCAAAACCGCCTTCTAATGCTTGTAAGAGGATGAGGATAACTGGATGCGAACCGGGGGGTGATTTTTCAAACCATTTCCGTTCCTGTCTTGTATGGATTCTCCCTCTGCCTCCCTAGCCTAACTCACTACGAACAGGTGAAAGCCCATCAGGGAACAGGAGCAGGAATCGCCCCGATGATCCTCAGCTCAGGAGAGGGCCAGGAAGTAGATATCTTACGGATGCTCACCAAGGCCAAGGATGAATACACAAAGGTGAGTTGTTGCCCTTCCTGTGACATAAGTCTTTCCTTCAGCCCCATAGTGGAGCCGTGCTGGTTGATAGTGATCGGATGCCATTCCTCTCGCCACACAAACTCACGCAAAGTAAAAATGTTCATTTGCTTCTAGTGGACTGAAGAAGACTCCCACTTGATTTCAAGTGAATTAAAAGGTAGCCTGAGAAGTCAAAAGCTTTCATAAATCACAACTAGGAAATTTGAGAGGACCCCCCCTTTACAGGCAAGCAACAAGTTAAGGTGAAATTTCCTTGAAATAAAATGAATCAGAAATGGGCAAAATCTATCTAAAGAACTATTTTAAGCATTCCTGAAAGGCATGAAAATAGGCTTAAGCAAATGGAAATATAAAGTCTGTTCTTGGATAATATGATTCAACATAAAGCTGCCAATTCTCCTTAAATTAATCTATAACTTTAAGGTAAACCCTAAACAAATATCAATGAGTTTCTTTTTTATCTCTCTCTCTATTTTTTTGTTTCTGGTCTGGAACCAGACAATTATAAGGTGTATGTAGAGAAATTTAAAAGACGGTAAAATAACCAGAAAATGCCTGGCAAAAAAAGAGCATTGTGGGGGGCAAACTCTATCTGATATTGAAACACTAAAGGCTAAATATTTAAAATGCTGTGTTATTGGCTCATAAACAGCCAGCTAGGCCAATAGACAGAGGAGGAAGTCCAGAATCAGACCCAAGTGCATATGAAATGTAGACTGTGACAAGGCGACAGTCTCCAACCAGAACGTCAGTGGATTTCCAAGTAACTTTCAAAATGTTGAGATAACAACTTAAGAGCCAAATCTCACATACTAGAATATGACAAACTAGAACTGTATTAGAAGTTTTTAGAAAATAAAGAAATTTAATTATACAATTAAAATCATTCAAGTACTGGAAGAAAGCATGAATTGGTTTGTTATAATTTGGGAAAGGAGAACTCTGCCTCGCTAAATCTTGGAACCCCAAAGCAATAAATTTAACTATAAAAATAAATAAACCTTTTGCATGATTTGAAGAAAGCTGGTGGCACAATGGTTAAAGAGCTAGCCTGTTGTTAGCCAAAAGGTATGCTGTTCAAATCCACCAGCCTCTCTGTGAGAGAGAGATGTAGCAGTTTACTTCCATAAAGATTTACAGCTTTGAAACCCGATGGGGACCTTCCTCCTGTCTTATAGGATCACTGTGAGCCAGAATCGACGGGTTTAAAACACATCTACAAGCCAAGTGAAAACATTGAAAATGAGAAGAAAACATGTACAACCCAAGTAACAGGGCCAAGCCAGAAGAGGGTTAATTTTCCTATTTTTTAAAGAATCTCTAGAATTTGAGAAAAGATAACACCCGTTAGAAAAATAGGCAAAAATAAACTAAGCTAATGAAAGTTTTAAAATTTAGAGGAGACAAATTTGGCTGGGACAAATGAAATGTACTTAGCTGAATATCAAATTGTAACATAATTGTGAAGAGGAAGAATTTGAGTGACTTCAGAACAACGTATTTGAGCTAAACATTCACAGTGGATTATATTTTAAGGACAAAAAGAACTGCGAAGAACTCTGACACTTTATTCAGTGCGGCGTTTTTTGTTTGTGATAATATTGGTGTTGGAAGTTTGTAACTGTTGTGGAAGATAGCAGTAATTATGCTAATGCGCTAAGAACCAAAACTTTCAGGGTCTGCTTTAAAAAGTAAAATTAAAGATACTAAGTTAAAACTGTAAAATGTATAGGAAGAAAAATAACAAGGTTAGTTCGATGCTGTTTCGTAAATATGTAGTTCCTTCCTCTTTCTTTGAAAAGACGTAGGAAAGGTTACAGCCCAGTAACAGTCAGCATCCCTATCCAGATTGTTGTTCCTTGATATATACTGTCTGGGGGCATAGTGCTCACTGCTGTGCTAACCGCAAGGTCTGAAGTTCAAGACCACCAGCTGCTCCTCAGGAGAAGACTAGATTTTCTACTCTGATAAAGATACAGTCTTGGAAACTCACAGGGCCACTGTACCCTGTCCTCTAGGGTCACTATAATCAGCTCGATGGCAGTGGGTTTGGTTTGATTTTTTTGGTTATTCCACTGAAAGACATCAGGGGACCCTAAATTTTTTTCCGATTTCGAGTCTGGGACCCTAAATTTTTTTCTGATTTCAAGTTTGATTCAAGAGAATCAAACTAATAATAAATTATGTGAAAAGGGTACAGTATCTGGGCGGGACCACTAACTTAATCATCAGCTAGAATGACTGCAGTGAATTGACATAAATTGAATATGTAAAATGTATGAGATCATGTGATGAGAAAGAGCAAACATTGAATGAGAAAGATAGATATAGATGCTTCAAAAAGTTCATGAAAAAATGGAATGAAAAGATAATGAGATTTTTCCACAACCTTCTTGAAACCCCGTTGTCTGTTGTGTGTGTGCATGCATAAACATGTAAACCACTTCTGTTGAGTCCATTCTGACTCAGTGACCTCGTGTAGGATTTCCGAGGCTGTCAGTCTTTAAAGGAGTAGCACCCTGAGCTTCCAGTTAGCAGTCCACTGCTTATCCGATGGTGGCACCAGGGCTCTTTGATCACACACATATACATAGAGTGAAAAATCAGTATTGGCTATCCTTGGAGCTGTTAGGGCACTCCTTACCCGAAAGTCATTAATTACTGGGAAAGAACTGAGCATTTATCCTGCCTGCCCTTTTTGGACCATATTTCAGAGCAATCCAATAGCTTTGGACCAGCTAATGTACACCGAGTGATTGAAGTTAAAACACCTGACTAATTGATTCAGGCCATGATCATAATTAAGGTTGAAAATTTGAGAGAGCGTGATGAGAAGTTGACCGTGGGAGGATCAGGCTGCCACTACCTGAACCCACTGGTCAACATGAGGAAAAGTTGAATAAGCAGACACCGTGTGCCTCCTGCTACGAGGCAGTGTGCAGTATGCAGCGCTCCCTGAAATGCTCCTGCCCAACGACTTGATCTCAGTCTACTCAAGTCTTGAGCTCTCACTTCCTAGGCCATAGAGAACTGGGGCGGGGCAGGTTGAAGGACAAAGTAAAGGATGCCACTGAGAAAGAAGTGTGAAGAAACTTGAATGACGGGGACATGCTGAAGTAGACTGACCAAGTTTTCTGGCAGGTTTTTGACTTGATTGTTAACCCACTCTGATTTTTAAGACGATGAGCTCCTTGAATGAAAGGACTCCCCTTATCCATCTTTAGTGCCCTAGTCTTCTTCAACGTACCTGCCACATGGTAAGTGCTAAAGAAGTGGTTGTGGAATGAATTAATCTGAATAAGCCACAGGGTCATTATCCTTCCATCTTGGGGCCTGGACAGGGATATTTCCATCCCAACTTTAATCGGTGACAACTCTTCTGCAATCGTTATTTATTTTTGCTTAATGGATCATACACTATAGCGTTTAATGGTTAACTAGTTTTGGTAACTTGAACTTGGTAATTCATCAAATAAATGAATAGATCTTATTGATGGTGCTCTGTTACTAAACCCAACCCAACCCAACCCACTGCCATCGAGCCCATTGCAACCCATAGTGACCCTCCAGTACAGAGCAGAACTGCCCGCTAGGGTTTCCAAGGGTTTTCGGGTTCCCAGACGCCGACTGCCACACCTTTCTGTTTCTGAACTGCTGGTGACCTCTCACCCTTGGCCCTCTTGGTTAGCAGCCGAGCACTTAACCCCCGGGGCCTCCAGAGCACAGTTAGGCACACTAACGATTAATTAATCTGCACAAGGTAAGACATTTCTGCCTTCTAGGACCTTAGCATTCAATAGAGATATCATAGCAATGATCTATAAATATATTTGCAAACAATCATGCAAAATTAATTAATTAATTCATGAAAATAGATGCAAATATCTAAAACTATTTCCCTTATCATCCCCTCTCTTCCCTCGACACATGTACACTCAGAAACAGCCATGCGTGATTTCAAAGACTTAACTTAGGCGCTGTGGCTTATACCCCCAACTTAGAATGTTTTCCCCCCTTGTATTGTTTGCCATCAAAATATGCACATCCTTCAAGCCCCGATTAAAAGACCAATTTTTGCATAGCATTTCTCCAAATCTCTTCAGACACAAATCCTTCTTTCCATTGAGCTCCCCAATCTGTTACTATTTAGAACTTACTTTGTTCTTCCATTAAAAATGAAACCAACATTGATGTCAACCACGTCCACTACTCTGGAAGCGGTTGGAGTCCCAACAGTCTTCTCCTTCCTCCTCTTGACGCCCCCACAGGGCTGTTGTGGTGCGTGGAGATGGGATGCAGGTGTGGAGTCAGTGTATCGCCTGTGCCTTTCCTACACAAATCAAATGCATAACGTTTGCTACATAGTGTTCGTGGCTGTGGGTAAATAACCGAGGAATGTGCTCCTACTGCCACTATTGCCCTGGTGATGCCATATAGCCTTAGATGTGATGGAACTTCCCAAAGGCACCATCATGACCATGTTAGCCCCTTGGTTTAAATCCTTCCTGGTTTCCCATTCCCTAGACCATGAAATGTTGGGCCCTTCAACCTGTCCTTCAAGTCCTAACCTGACCTCAAATTCTTCTTCTAATTCCGTGTGTTTGAAATGAATTTGTATGTCACTCAAGAATCATAAGTCCACTTTAATTTTACTTGTCCTCCTTTTAAAGCCACTCAGACCAATGTTTAGATCTAAGAGATGAGGAATCTGGAGGGTCAGATGCAATTTTTACATAATAAAATCATTATCACTGACCCACAGCCCTACAGGGGACAACACTGGAGACACAGTGGGGAATTCCACCCGGTCTGATCCCACCACACCGAGGCAAAACACTAAGGGCATGCAACAGAATGGCAAGGGGAATAGACCAATGAAGTCCCCAGGGAATATAAAAAATAGGCCTTGGGGCCCAGCTTGGTGCCCCATCAGATTGACCGGAAAACACTCCTAAAGGCCAACAA